TTGCATGTACATTGCATGTCTTGCCTTCTTTGGTTGACGTTGGAAGCGGAGCAACGCTTTGAATTTTAACAGTTAAGAGAGGATTTCAACCACTAAACCACGATAAGCAAAAATGTAACATGCTTCCCAACAACAACCATGTCTTTTTCTGGGCTCAACCCCTATTGAAAGAATGGCAAGGACCCAATTTGGAGGATGCAACCCCATGGCTGAGCAGCAAACAGATGCCTTTTGAACGACTAGGGGCCGAAAGATAAGGGTGAGCAGCTGAGAGGTGGCCAATGGGCTTGTCTGAGCGCCAGAACGTGAGCGTGTCAGCTTTTGAGGGTGCCAATTATTTTGGCGGTCTTTAAGGAAAATCGCAGAACAACGATATATTTAAAAAAACTCAGGTGATATCCCCAACAGCCTGTGGTGTTCTTATTAGTGCTCGCACCACCCCGCAGCCCTCGCAGAACCCTGGTGGAACCCTGGTGGAACCCTGGGGGAACCCTGGTGGAACCCTGTTGGGAAAAAACATTATGTTGGGAATAGCGTCGGAAAAAAGGAAAGAACAGAAACCCACAAAACATACGTGTTGCCCACAAAAAGCGTTTTTTGCTGCGCCTGCCACGCTTTTTGGAGGTCTCGGGGACCCGCTTCCGGGCAGTCGCGGGCAACAGGAACGTTTTGGCCGAAAAGAAACCGCACATACTCGAATAGCCCTTACCCGCCCCATGAGACCAAATAGAACCATGGCGAATGTGGTTGTTGGGCAGCCGCCTTTGCCTTGGAAACATTCTGGGGCGTGGCTATCCTGGGTGTAGGCTTGAAGGGGAAACCAAGGGAAAACACCTGGTTCTTTTGGCTTGGCTGACGTTGGAAGGGGAGCACCAATTTAAATTTTAGCAGCTAAGTGGGGATTCCCACTAAACCACAATAAGCAAAACTGTAAAATGTTTCCCAACAACAACCATGTTTGGGGCTGGGGGTCGCACTTTGAGACAAAGTCGCAGATTGACACCACTGCTTCAACATCCTGGATATGTTCTTTCAATAATGTCCCACGGCAAACTGACGGTGTGCTTGTAGTTTCTGATTCAGACCTTGCCATCGGCTTCTCTTGTGCTCACTCGGACCTTGTCACAGGTTGTTTCCCCACAAACCGAGTCTCCACACTCAAGATTCCGAGCGTATCCCCAAGAGTGAAGGCGAAACTTAGGGCTCGTCCCCCTGATCTGTCTAGGAAATGGTTGGGCTCGTCTCTCATGTAACGAGCCCCTGGACCACAGACAAGCCAGTACAATTTCGACTAACCATTTGCAACAGGGTCGGGCTGGCGGTCCTTGCTTTTGCGCCGGTAGATTCTGAAGATAGGAATGGGAAAACAAGGGCACCATGTCTGGGCTGAACATTCTCCACGATCGTGAGTTAGACGTGGGATGTGAAGGCCCGCCTAAAGACCGGTGCGGGGGCCGAGGGGCTGAATGACCAAGACTTTTCCCTTTTTGGGGAGGGGCTTCCCTCTACACCTAGGGCTTCTCGCGTGAGTTGTCTACCACCATTTGGGCGTATCTTTCTTAGGTGGGTGTTCCTCTTCATTTTCCCCTGAGACCAACCAAAAGCGGGTACCCTCAACAAACCTACACACCCATGTTGATTAAACAAAATGACACGCCCAGTTTGATCAACGGGGTCCAAGAACGTTCCCCGGTACCCCTTGGCCCTAAAGCCACCTACCCGACGCATCGCCTCTGGAGCAGGCCAGTAGTTCAACGGAGCCTCGTCAGGCTCCTCGTCCTATCGATCCATAGATCCGCACCATTCCGCTGAATTGTTGGAGTGGTGAATACTTTTTTAAGGCGGGGGAGCCCTTTGGCCGCAAGTCCGCAAGGAGTCATCTCAAACTTACCGATTTTCAGGTTTACTCGGTTTACACCCCTGACCGGCCAGCTACCCCTTTGGCTGCGTATATTAGCTGTAGCCCAGAAGGGCAACTCTTGGGTGAATGGTGCGTGGTGCCCTGATTTGCGCTTGGCTGAAGAGTGACCACGTGCGAAAAGCCCAGTGTTTCTTTGCTTTGCAGCAATTAGACGCGCACGATGCCAATGTCATCGACCGCACCCCGTTGTTTAGAGGGCAGCTGTCAGTCACAAATCAGGCGCTGCAATGGCTTCGAAGATAGCAGCGGAAGGTAATGTTCCCCCATATTGATCAACCCCTGCTCATTAATAAGGGGGTGTTCCTCTCCAAAAGTGGTATGATTCCCCACTATATCCCGTTGGTTGATTAATATGGGGTCAACATTGCAGTTTTCAGAGGACATCCTCCGCGCATCAAAAGAAGCTCGCTTCCACTGGCAGTTTAATTCTTGTAACGAGAGAGATGTCTTTTTTGACAAGAACAACTCTTGAGACTTGAATTGGGAAAGACAAACGTTCAATTTGCTCAAACTGCTGCAGCTTGTCATTGACAAGGCTTTAAACAAGTTGGGCCACTCATCTTGCACGTTAAAGCAAGCAATGTGGACCCGTCGGTCCGCTGCTGTTGGTTCACTAAGAGTGCATTGTCGCAGCGAAGTAACATGGTTCGTGACATGCCACATGTCTCGTCCATTTCCTACCAACGAATTCTGCACATACAGCCTGCATCCAACCCCGTCGCTGCCTCGTTGGGGGTATCCTCCTCTCCCAACAAACACATCGTGCCTGAACAAGGCCTCTGAGAAAGCATGTCCAGGTTGAATGTTTGTTGAAGAGTAGCACCCCAGAGCACGTCAAGCAGCCCGCCTCCTGAGACTTCTTTTTCTTCTTCTTCTTTCTGGGCTTCCTTGGCATGGTGGCCACTTGCAGTCGGCCGATACGCAAGGACAAAGGCGGGCATCAAACAACAAAACAACAGACACCTGAAAGAGCAAAGCAAAACCTTGGGCAGTTGTGTTCACGCGCTATGCCAACGTCAGCCAACACGAAGGTAGTAGTATACATGCACGTATTATGTATGCACCCCTCTCCAATAACCTACATTGTTGAGATAGAAGTTGGATTGCTTGATCTAGTGTCTCCCAGTTCTAGCAGGAAGTTATTTCTGCAAGTTTCTCCACATGTGCAAGTTTATCCGCGGAACTTCTCTGAGCAAGCTTCCCTGAGAAGCCGGAAAACTTGGGTAGCCCAAACAAAACAAAACCTGTATTTTCCGGATTCAAGATACCGAGGAACGATTTTTACAGGTCCAATCTGGACTCCAGACTGTAGAATCGGTCTGTCCATGAAACCATCCATGTCAGAAACCTCGGGAACATTTTGCCAAACCAACATTGGGTGCGCCTTGCACAAACAACACATTGACATGTTTCCTGGATTCAAGATACAACATATCCTGCACAAGTTGTGGATCCAAGATCCAAGTTTTCTGAGGCTTTATTTGGAATATAGGGGGATTTATTGATCCACGATTGCTCCCAAAAGTCCCCCAAACATCTTGGATCTTGGTCCAGGATCTAAATACCGTATTTAGAATTCTGAATATTGCGGTATGTTTCTGACGATCCTGCTGAAATAAGGGATTATGGGGACAACGCCCCGAATCCGCAAAGCTTACAGGGGTCCGTCAAATAGACAAGAGTACAAGCTCCGCAAACCAAACTTCTATGTGATGCCCACCTTTAGCAAACATCACGTGCGCCTGTGTCAGTCGGAGCTGATAGACAAGGTGTCAAATAAGGTGTCTGGGAAAATCCGAAAGTATCTATGTCCTTGCGGGGTCCAGTAGGTGAAATCGAACCTAGTCAGGTTTCTTAGCACCAACTGGTGACCCAAGGTGTCCGTGCGAAATTCCCCTCAGCCTGTTTTGCCGCTGTAACTCTCCCTGGTCAAGTGGCCAACGTATCTGAAGTTGAAACCATCTGAGCCTCTGGGTCCCTACAACATGTCCTTGGGTCTTTGACCGGCTGCAAAAAAGCTCAACTTGTTGCTAGGTGGGGACAATGACATCTTCGACATGGCTTTCAACGAGTCCGGTGAAACCAAAGACCTTGCGACACGCATCTATGCATCCTGGGTCCATACCCTGCTCACGAGGCGGTTGCAAGACAAACGAAGGAGCTCTCTCCGGTTGAATAGTTGTGAAGGATACGAAAGAAAGCCAGCCACCGGGCCCGGTCCTAAATTCAGAAGTCACACTGCTCAAACAAAATCGTTTGGTTCAAAACAGTTCACAGCGAGCCTTGGCATCCCTAGGTTCAATCCTCGCCTCGCGAGGATTTAAACTCACGTCGAAACGTGTCCGGCATCTACCCTGTTTGGGGTTGTTTCAAAGGGAAAGCAAAGGTAAAACACCCTTCTTGCGAGCCCATATTCCGTATTTGGCAAAAACCTGTCGGGGCCCGTCTTTCAGGTTCACCTTTTTTGAGGACAAATCGGACAAATTGCAGAACTGAGAGGCCGGCAGTGCAACGGAAGAAGCTCTTGAGACATGGAAGTTGTGGCCAGCAAATCTCCAAGTTGGCGGACAAACAACTTACATAGGTGGGGCTCCCTGCCCCAAGATAGAAGCACATGCTCTACCCCAAGCCCTCGTTTCAAGATACTTAGACCACTGCTGAAACGCATTCCTTTTGGTTCCCCTTCGGCATTGTGTCTCGCTGTACCAATTTGTGATGCAGAACAGGCTGCCAATGCGGCCTACGTTTCAGTTCAGCGGGTCCAGACAGAGTCTCATTGTGGTTCATCCACCGTGGTCTTCTCCAAAGGAGAACGTCCAATTCGGGAAGTGAGTCAGTGCGACAACGCTGATCTCCCGAACAAAACCAAAAAGCTTGAGGTCCAACTAGAGAGTGTCGAAGCAATGACACCCTGGACACCATCTTGGTGAACAAACTACTCTCGAAAAGGGTTGCCCATGGAAGGAACCTGAAACGAGGTCAGAAATAACCTGTTTGTTTGCCTAATTGGCTAGTGTAAGAGCATACATAGTTTGCATGGGGCACGATTGCGCCAAACTCTCATGATCATGGGAGAATATTGTGTGTAGTTATGTACCCAAATTAAAGGCAACCCCAAACAGAGTCCCCTCAAAAAACATGGACAATCATGTCCAGATGTGATAGAGCCCCTTTGAACCCAGTGGAAAATAAGCAACTACTCATTTCAGTGACTGGAAGATCATGTGTTGCGGGGGAAACCCAATGGAGTCAAATGAAAAAGCGCTCCTCTCGCGTTTCCTGCAGTCTCACGGCTCTCCAAGCGCCTGGCTTCTTCTTGGTGTCGCCTTGGCTCGACTGAAATTCACGAGAGCCTTCAATGATAGCGCCCCTTTGGGTGTTTAAGGGCAACCAAGCGGAAACCAACCACTTCTAGGTGAACATCCAAACAAACAAACCAGAAACAAGCAAACAACCAAACGCAGACACACAAACAAAAACACAAACACACATGTGTGCAAACAAGCAAACCAGCACACAAGCAAGCCGGTAAGCAACACAGCAACCACACAATCAAATCATACACAAACACAAAACACAACAACACGCAAGCCAACCAAACTAGCAATCAAACAATCAGGCAAGCCAACACACTCTGACACACACACACACAAACATACTGAACTGGCGCACAATCAAACAATCATCCCAACACCACACAAAATGACACACATTCACAACCACGCAACCGCAACAATAACAGCACATTACAACAGCTACCAAACAACATCACCCGCAATGACGTTGACGACGACGACGCCCACGCGCATGACAAAAAGCGACAGCACCAAAAACAGACACGATGACACAACAACAACTACAACAACAGCTGCATCCACTGTCTGTCTTGTCGGTCCTTGCAAAAAATCAAAAGAAGACATCAGAGCCTTTTGCCGCCGTGGGAGGCGGAGCGCCCGCAATGAGTGCTTCTTTCCGAAACGTAAAACTGCCAATGCATGCACGTTTCAACACCCAGAAAAAGTGGAAGAAAAAACACACAATCCCAAATGGGTGTGTCTTGTTGAAGAGGCCTGCGTCTGGGATTCCATGTCGAGCGAGCATGACACCTACACTTGTACCCAGGTGAAGTACATGCGCGCGCAACGTTTGCTGCCTGAACGACTTGTGAAGCACAACACTGACCCACACGCGCCCACCAGGAAGAAAAGGGCAGCCGTTTTTTGGTGGGTACAGATCTGCAATCAGTCCGGGTGGGCGTGCGTGCCTGTCAAGGGCTATGGTGGATACAGCTCTGACATCAGCGCGAATGGATTTGTGCGCTTGTGAAAGGTCATGGGGTCATGGCTCGCACATCGGTGAGCGTGGATGTGTGCTTACCAACGGTCATGGTGGATACAGCTCTGACATCAGTCCATATGGGCGTGTGTGCTTATCAACGGTCATGGTGGATAGAGTCATGGAGTCATGGTGGATACTGCTCTGACATCCGCGCGTGGACGTGTGTGTCCTTATCACTGGTCACGGTGGACACAGCTCTGTATCAATGATCATAGTGGATGCAGCTCTGACATCATTGCACGTGGACGTGTGCATACCGTCCACGATGGCGAAAAACTCGTTTCGGTACAACAACAGCGGCATCCGCTGTCTGTCTTGTCGGTCCTTGCAAGAAATGAGTACCACATGCACCAACCAACCAACTCCAAAACGGAGAGTTCTACAAAAGGGTTCTAGACCTAGGTCCTCCAGTAGAGAGGTTAGAATAAGGGTACCCTTTTTTTCTGTAGTCTATTTTAGTAGGGGAACCCTCCCCCAAAAAAGTTGGTAAAAGGGCGCTACTGGGGGACCTGGAGACAATTCGCCATAACTCGCCCTTGCAAACAGCAGCTTTTGGGCTCTGGCCCTTCCCATCTTCGAGCTCCTCTTCTTCTTCCTCGTCCTCTGGCATGGCATCTCCGACCTTCCAGGCGATGGTTAAACTCCAGAAGATGTCTAGGGGGTGCTCGTTTTACACCCAGGTGAGCTCGCTATAAAACAGGCAGAGCTATACAGCTACTCTAAGAAACAAGCAAACAGTAGGGAAAGGCCTTGCTCTCCCGACGGTTCCCTTTGCATTCCGGCATCCGAGAAAGGCGGGAACTAGATGTCTTTTTGGAGAAGATCCGACCCCCAAAACCCCAGTTGCATGGCTGTGGGTCAAGAGTAGGGTAACCCCAAAATGGCTTGCCCTGGAAACAAGGACGATTTAACCTGCGGTCCAATTCCTGGTGGTTTAATTTTGACCCACACCCAGGTGGGGATATCTTCGAAGCAACAAGATGATATCTTCCCAGAAAACCGCTGGTCTTGGTCCCTGTTTCCACTTACCAGGGTTCCATTTGGGGTACTGATGTTGGACTTTCGGACTTTTGGTGCGGTTTGGCCCCCAACTTCTCAGCTTCGCGCCTGCGCCGGCGACGGCGAGGGATTTCTCTTGAGCCCAAAGGTTCGGATTTCAGCCGGGGCAACGGCGCGAGCGAATGGCTCGGCCAAGCGGAATTTTCCTCATCCCGCAAAGGGAAGCCAAGGGGGCAACGGTTCCCAAGGCGTGACCCAAGATTACCCTTCTGAAAACCTGGAGCCATGACCCACAAGACCCAAGTGACACCAAACAAGAATACCTTTGGACAGTGAAAAGGGGATGGTGTGAGATGTTTCCCTTCGTTCCCCGCATTTTGGCCTGACACCTTCCGAAAACCTGGAGCAAAAAACCCACAAGACCCATGTGACACCCAACAAGATTACCTTTGGACAGTGAAAGGGGGATGGTGTGAGATGTTTCCCTTCGTTCCCCGCATTTTGGCCTGACACCTTCCGAAAACCTGGAGCCATGACCCACAAGACCCAAGTGACACCCAACAAGATTACCTTTGGACAGTGAAAAGGGGATGGTGTGAGATGTTTCCCTTCGTTCCCCGCATTTTGGCCTGACACCTTCCGAAAACCTGGAGCCATGACCCACAAGACCCAAGTGACACCCAACAAGACTACCTTTGGACAGTGAAAAGGGGATGGTGTGAGATGTTTCCCTTCGTTCCCCGCATTTTGGCCTGACACCTTCCGAAAACCTGGAGCCATGACCCACAAGACCCAAGTGACACCCAACAAGATTACCTTTGGACAGTGAAAAGGGGATGGTGTGAGATGTTTCCCTTCGTTCCCCGCATTTTGGCCTGACACCTTCCGAAAACCTGGAGCCATGACCCACAAGACCTAAGTGACACCCAACAAGAATACCTTTGGACAGTTAAAAGGGGATGGTGTGAGATGTTTCCCTTCGTTCCCCGCATTTTGGCCTGACACCTTCCGAAAACCTGGAGCCAAGACCCAAGTAACACCCAACAAAATTACCTTTGGACAGTGAAAAGGGGATGGTGTGAGATGTTTCCCTTCGTTCCCCGCATTTTGGCCTGACACCTTCCGAAAACCTGGAGCCATGACCCACAAGACCCAAGCGACACCCAACAAGAATACCTTTGGACAGTGAAAAGGGGAAGAAGGCCTGACACCTTCCGAAAACCTGGAGCAAAAAACCCACAAGACCCATGTGACACCCAACAAGATTACCTTTGGACAGTGAAAAGGGGATGGTGTGAGATGTTTCCCTTCGTTCCCCGCATTTTGGCCTGACACCTTCCGAAAACCTGGAGCCATGACCCACAAGACCCAAGCGACACCCAACAAGAATACCTTTGGACAGTGAAAAGGGGATGGTGTGAGATGTTTCCCTTCGTTCCCCGCATTTTGGCCTGACACCTTCCGAAAACCTGGAGCCATGACCCACAAGACCCAAGTGACACCCAACAAGATTACCTTTGGACAGTGAAAAGGGGATGGTGTGAGATGTTTCCCTTCGTTCCCCGCATTTTGGCCTGACACCTTCCGAAAACCTGGAGCCATGACCCACAAGACCTAAGTGACACCCAACAAGAATACCTTTGGACAGTTAAAAGGGGATGGTGTGAGATGTTTCCCTTCGTTCCCCGCATTTTGGCCTGACACCTTCCGAAAACCTGGAGCCAAGACCCAAGTAACACCCAACAAAATTACCTTTGGACAGTGAAAAGGGGATGGTGTGAGATGTTTCCCTTCGTTCCCCGCATTTTGGCCTGACACCTTCCGAAAACCTGGAGCCATGACCCACAAGACCCAAGCGACACCCAACAAGAATACCTTTGGACAGTGAAAAGGGGATGGTGTGAGATGTTTCCCTTCGTTCCCCGCATTTTGGCCTGACACCTTCCGAAAACCTGGAGCAAAAAACCCACAAGACCCATGTGACACCCAACAAGATTACCTTTGGACAGTGAAAAGGGGATGGTGTGAGATGTTTCCCTTCGTTCCCCGCATTTTGGCCTGACACCTTCCGAAAACCTGGAGCCATGACCCACAAGACCCAAGTGACCTCACTGTCCAAAGCCTCTATTTGGGTGTGTCTCAAAGTCTAGGCCCTGAACTGGTGGCTTTCCAATAGGTGATTTTTTGCAACAAGGGCTCAAGGAAGAACACTAACTTACCACCAAACATGGCATGCGCCAGGGGTCTTGGGGAGAGATTTGGGTCGAACCTGGCCACTTCCATGGCGAGTAGCTGTGACATACCCGGGCGATCTGAGAAAGAGGGAGGGGGTAGGGAGGAGGGAGGGGGAGGGAGGGGGAGGGAGGGGGAGGGAGGGGGGGAGGGGGAGGGGAGGAGGAGGGGAGGGAGGGAGGGAGGGAGAGGGGAGGGAGGAGGAGGAGGGGAGGGAGGGGAGGGAGGGGGAGGGAGGAGGGAGGGGAGGGAGGAGGGAAGGGGAGGGAGGGAGGGAGGAGGGAGGGGGAGGGAGGGGAGGGAGGGGAGAGGGAGGGGGAGGAGGGGGAGGGAGGAGGGAGGGGAGGGAGGAGGGAGGGGAGGGAGGGGGAGGGAGGAGGGAGGGAGGGAGGGAGGGAGGGGGAGGGAGGGGGAGGGAGGAGGGAGGGGGAGGGAGGAGGGAGGGGGACGGAGGGGGAGGGAGGGGGAGGGAGGGGGAGGGAGGAGGGAGGGGGACGGAGGGGGAGAGGGGGAGGGAGGGGGAGGGAGCCCAAATAAGCCCTAAATTTAGGCCTTATCACAAAATTACGGGCTTAATGAGGGCTTTTCATCTAATCGCTTTCTTTTGATTAGGAACCTGAACAAAAAAGGATTGAATTACTGTGGATGGACGAACTCCATTTCGCAGCACCCAAAAAAAAACTGGAAGGATGATTCCTTTGCAAATACCTACTCAACAGTGGTTTTTCAGAGGTGGTGCGCAATGGATTTCGTCCGTCCACAGTCGGAGCCCACTGAACCAAAAAGGCTGAGACACCCTTCCAATTCTTGGGAACTGCACCTTTCAGGGTGGTGTGCTGGTGGCCAGTGGGTTCATGGCTGGTGGCTTCAGGGGAAAAAAAACAAAAAACGATTCACTGCCGGGTCTCTGAATCTGCTCCTTGCATATCCCATGTGTTTTTGTGAAACAAGTCAGCGGCAAAGCCATTCGAGTATGATGCCCCAATTCTGGCACGCCCATCTCTGGTGTTCTTTCTTGGGCTCCTCTCTTCGCCAAACCAAGAAAACAGAAGCTCAACTTGGCTCTAATGTTAACCCCGGATTAATAAACCCCTGGTTGATTAATAGAGAAGTGTCCCCTTTTAGTGGGGATTCATGACTTTTGGGGGGAACACCCCCCTAAAAATGGGACGGATTCATTAATGCTGGGTCAACATTACCCCATAAATTGGTCTGCCAGCTGCTTTCAGTTGCTTTCCGGCCCGGCCGACCTTCTGGTATGGGCGGCAATCAATCAATGCCTAGGGGCAAGCCAAAACAAATCCGATTTGCAGCCCAAGAGAGGAAGGGTTGAAAGACCCGCCCGGAACAACATGCAGAATGCCAATCAGTGATGCCAATCAGTGCATTCATCTGCAACCCGACCTTTGGACCCAACGCCTAGCATAAGTGTTTCGTCTGGGTGAGTTTACGATAATTCCCCAACCGAAAAGGGATCAGCACAAAAGCTAAACGTTTGGGTGAGGTCTCAAAGAGTCTTTGTGAGATCGCTGTGCGATTGGTGGCCCAAAAGAACTCATGCTTCTGAAGCCGAAGTCACTGACTCACCTGAACCCAAGGGCTTTATCTGAAAGTCTATGATCAAAGCAAACAAAGCTGCCGGCCACATTTGGGCACTTCCCGCCCTGGATGGTTCAAGTTGGGTGGATCCGCCTTATATGGAAACTCTTTCTGGGAGCCAATGCTTTGTTGCAACTAACTTCTTCGCATTTTTGAAACGCGCAACTTGCCGGGGATGTCCTTTTGCAGTTGGGACACGCCTGCCTGTCTTTTTCTCGCGCGCCGGGCAGCTCAGTTGTAGCCGCCTGGACCCGGCAGGGGACCCTTCTCACACCTCGGATGGCGCCAGGTCCACGTGTCCGAGGCTACGCTGCATGCTGAGGGTTTACTGCAGGAATTTCCAAGTTCAAGCCACGCTCCGACCGGCAAAAGACAAACGAGGGGAAACCAAAGCAGCACTTCTACACTTGGAGTGCTGTTGCCTCCTACTCGCTCAAAGGAATGCCAACGAATCAAGCATATAGCGAGGTGTACGATCATGTGCAAGTCATCCAACATGTTACTTAAGAGAGACAACCTCTCGCTTGAGTGGATTGGTCAAAAGAAGCAAGTCCACCCCATTTTAAAAAAGGCAAGTCCAGGAACTTAGGAAGCGAGTCCTTTGCATGGGGTTGATCAACATTCCATGGGCCCCAGGTAAACGACCATGGGTCACTTTTCCCATGACTCTAATTCCCAAAAGCTGAAAGGACCTTTATCATGGTGAGCTCGTACCCCCGAATCAGTGAGCTCCGCTCTACGATTGGCATGTGGTGAAAGTCAAGTTTGTTTTGGTGGTTTCCACATGGGACACCCAATAGTCAAAAGGGGGTTGATCAACATATCCCCTTCGGCCCCCAAATGGCAATGGGACACTTTTCGGTGGTAAAAATCATCTTGGCGGTTTTCCCAATTGGGCATCTCGTTTTACGGACCTGTTGATCGACCCCCACATGGGTGTGTCTTGAAAAGTGGGGAGCCGGGGCCAGACTGGCGGTTTTACAACCAACTCTGGGCTGCCCTCAGATCCCCTGCTAAAAGTTTAACTTTTACTGGGTGAACTGGACATCCCCACTAAACCCTAAAACGCTAAAAAGCTAAGGGGATGGCTGGGAGCCACCAAGAACTTACTTGCCCAAAAGGCCTGGAAGCAAAAGGTTAACCTTTCGGGAACGTTGCTGAAAGTAGACCAAAACGGGAAAACCCAAAGGTCGGTTCAGGTCGATTCGCTTTGGACAACTAAGCCGATGGTCACCCCAAAAGGACGTTTTTCTTTCACCAACCCCCCAAAAAATGTCCAACCCCAAAACTTGGTTGACGTTGCAAGCGAAGCAAAAAATCCACTAGCCGCTAAGTGGGGAATTCCCGCTAAACCACAATAAGCATTGCAAAGATGTAAAATGTGTCCCAACAACAACCATGAGGAAATTCAATCAACCCCAAAAATTGGTCCAACCCCAACAACGTAAGTCCCAGCAACTCCAGGGACGCGAGTCCTTCAAAGCGCGCCTTCTGAAGCCCCCCCGAGTCTCTCAGCCCGGCGCTTCGACAAATCCAAAGTCAGCTGCTCGGGGAGCGGCACCGTCTCCACCTCAGAAGCCAAGCGGTGGCTAGGCCGCTTGGGCGCGTCTTTTTTGAGGGTCAGAACCCCGAAAAAGGGCGGTGGTGAGCCACTTGAGGATACCTTCTTGTTGGTGATTAAGGACAACCAAAAGGAGACCCCGTCATCTTTTCGGGGGTCCAACCTTGAAACCCTAAAATGATTGGATTCTTGGTTTCCCCAAACACCAAGCCCCAAAAGGGGGTCCAGAAGCCTAAAACAACGGACATTATTTTTGCATAGTTACTCAGGCCTTCGGACATCATTCAGGGGACCAAAAACCTGCTGAGGTGGGTCCAACTCTTGAAATTCCAAGCCACTTGGGCGCGTCTTCTTTTTGAGGGTACCTTTTTGTTGGTGATTAAGGAAAACCAAAAGGAGACCCCGCCATCTTTTGGGGGGTCCAACCTTAAAAAAAGAAGAAACCACTTCTTCCAATTGTTTTGCGTTTGCCCCCTGAGGGGACAAAACAGTAGTGATAGGGTCCCTTTAAATCCAAAAGAGAAAATAACACATATTATTAAGGAAAAACAAACAGTAGTGATATAGAGTCCCTTTAAAGTGAACTCGGGGAAAATAGCACATATTCGTAAGGGGAAAAAGACCGTAGTGATAGAGTTCTGAAAATGAGCTAGGGGAAATCAAATATATTCATTTCAGCAAATGGAAGAGTTTGGACCTGGACATCTACGGTGATCACCTTTTGAACCTGGGCCAAAATCTTGAAATGGGTCTCTACACCCCCAAAGGCCCGGGGAACATGAAAAGGTGATCACCGCCTGGTGCCACGAGAAATGGAAGATGGGAAAACCAAAAGGTGAGGTTGTGGACCCAAGATGGATTTCAGCTTTCCTTTTGGTTTCCCTTGAGAACCAAAAGGGGGTCCCCTCAAAAGAAGACAGACCCCCAGTGGATTTTCAAAAGTTGGTCCATGTTCAACAGTTGGTTATTTGCGTGTTCTAAAGCATTCCCTGCGAAACAAAGACAGGCAAGCAACTCACTGGGTGTTTGGGAAATGTCGTATCCACTTCGCTCCTATAAATGAAACCCAAAGACTGGGATAGACCACTCACCAACGCAAGTGCGGATCTGCTTTTGTCCACCGCATGTTTTTTGTCGTTTGGGAATGGCTTGCAACACACAAAAACGGCTCAACCCCTTGGCTTGACAGTGGGACATCATCTAAAGAGGAGACTGTTGACCAATGGGTGATGCTTGACGGTCTCTTGCTTAGTTTAACCGGAACCAAAAGGAAAACTTGCCTCTTTGGTGTCAAGGGCGGGGGTTCCCCTTGGACAAATACCCAAGTCACCCCAAGTAGGACCTCACACAAAGAAGGCTGCCAACCTCATTTTCCTGAGCGGGTGGTGCTGTTGCCCGCTTGAAATGAAACATGAAGTGGACCGGAAGCGAACCCTTGGACGGACGGGACATGCAGAAAAAGAAACAACAACTAGGTCCTCTAGTAGAGAGGTTAGAATAAGGGCACCCTTTTTGCCTATAGTCTATTGTAGTGGAAGAACCCTCCCCCAAAAAAGGGTAAAAGAGCACTACTGGGGGACCTTGACGACCATCAACTACACCAGCTGGAAAGTTAGCTTTGTGAAGGGACTGAACCGCCCAAGGATTCCTCGTGCCCTTGCAATTTTGGAAGCCAACTGCATCCCCTGAAAAGAAGAAACTGCTCGTATCATCTACCCCGCTGTTGCCCCCAACCAAAAAATGTAGGTTTGATGTTGGTCCACATTTCTGCTAGTAAACCTTACAATGTATAGCAGCTTCAAGTGAGATCCCATGCATAAAACCACAAAGCGATGCTCTTTGCAAGGCCGTTGTCGCTGTGATAGACTACGACGGAAGGGCAAGGCGCCCCAGTTCCATTGTGGAACACCCTAAAGTTCCTCGCTGCTCTATTGGCCGTTTTTGTTCGGATGTACCCTGCACTTACCAAAGAGGCCCCATTCAATCGGCACCCTGAACATGTCTGCGAACAGAGAATGTCAGAACCTCAAATAGATAGCCCAAGGAAACGCAAGACAAGTGTAAAGGTCACGTTCTCTGAATACTTGCAGGTTGGGCAGAAACAAATAGTTCTGTTGAGGGCATTTTTTACGACAAGACCCCTAGAGGATAAAGGGCGCGCAGGGACCAGCCCGGTCAGGTTCCATGCCGTATGAGAAGAACGGTCAGCTTGCACAGAGGTGTTGCAATGTGAGCTTGAGGTATTGCGAAGTGCGTTTTATGGGTCCGTGTCAAAAGGGTCCCACAAAGCACATGTTTGGCCCCCCACAACAAATTGAACCACAGTCAATTTCTGTTGTGATTGGAGAAGTTGCGGGCCCCGCACATTCCCAACAAAAGACTACCCCAACAAGATGTCTAGGAAACGGCTTGGATGCGGTTTTGTGGATCCACCCTGTAGTATGTTAAAAGAGTACGTACTAAACGAGTACTAAAAAACACCTAAAGGGGGAAGGACGGGTGAAATCCACAAAAAGCGCATTGCGTCAGTCGCCCATCCTCATTTTTCAAGGACATGGTCCCTGGCGCAGGGCTCCCAATATTTCCCCTACATCTCTCCCCACCAAGGGATACTCACCTTTCATGGGCCCCAAAAAGGTGATGTTTACAACCGCCAAAATGGGAACTATAGGGACCCCGTGACCCTTGACCACCGAACTTTGGGTTTCCCAAGAGCTCTCTCAGCTTGTCGCCTGCTTTGAGAAGTCTGTGGGTGGCGGGGGCTCGTCAAAGCCTGGACTTCGGATCGTAGCCGAAGTGTTCCCCAATCCAATGGTATGGTGAGTACGCCCATTTCAAGCCAGATTTTCAGATATTGGCTGTTCGAGACCTGTCGACTTGGGCGTGTCCATTTTTGGAGTTGGTAACCCCTTGGTCTAAGGGAAACCAACAGCAACACCGAAGCTGTGTTGGGGGGTGCAAATCCTAAAACAAGCACACCCATGAGCGATTTTCCAAGAAAGCTGGTCAAGTTTATTCGTCCCCTGCAACCTGCGCTATGTGATCTCCCAAAGAATAATTGCAGCCTGAGCAAAAGGTCGTGTAAGCATGTCACAACATCTCCATCCCGAGGGTTCGTGAGGTGTGATTCGGAGCACAAGCCTGGCGCTTTTGCAGAAAACATACCCCTCCTGAATTGACAAGTGAGAAAGGACAGCACACAGAAGGGAGCTGGGCCAAACATGTTCACAGAGCCAACCCTTTTCTCCTTAGAAAAACCAACTGGAGGTCTTGACATGTCGTCCGAACACTTTCATTCCCGAAAGGCAGCTCACAGTTCCCACGTGGAGATGTTTAAAAGCACCAAAGAGGATATATATATATATATATGTATATGTACACACACCTCCATTTGCTTAAGTCCCCTGGAAACAATGAGCAAATATTTCCAGTACCGATAGATTCCCTTTAAAACCAACAGGAGAAGCAAGTTTTCTTAACCAAATGGAAGTATGGACCTCTGACAAAAGTCCGAATATCTTTGACATCCGATGTCTATTGAGGCCAACTTCTTCTTTTTTCATAGGTTTGGGGATGCCGTGTACATCCGTCTGCCACGTCAAAGCACGGGACACGGACATTGCGTGAAACTGGCGATATGGACAACAAACAATGGCCAGTCCCTTTCGGTTTCACTTTAAAGCTGCAAGGGGCGCCAACTCATAGGCCCATGAGTTCTATAGGGGTTCCTTTTGGATGCATGAGTTCCTATGTTTCTCTGACCCAAACTGAACCTGGCTTCGAAGTACAACCTTCCAAAGTGGGCGTGTCTGTTTTTGATGGTACCTTTTTGCGATTTTAAAAGGGAAACCAAAAGGACACCAACCATTTTGGAGGGCTCCCCTACAAAACAAGACACCACTCTAAACAAACAAAACAAACACAATCAAAGCGACGAAAAAGCTTAGTTGAATCCAAACAAACCAAAAACACACACAAACAAAAACAACAACAACAAAAAAAAAACAAGAAACACACAGAAAATAAGGAAGAACACAAAAAACACAACGACAAAAAAGCCAGGAGCCAAGTTGAGCCGGGCGATTCGCTGGGCGCCACCCGCTCGGCCTGCCAGGTCCAACAAGTCCCCTCCGCCGCGGCTCGCGGCTGGCGCGGCTGGCGCCTGGGCTGAAGGGATCTCTGGGCTTCGAAGGGGAAATGGGGAGAGTGGTCTTGGAGGAATGGGGGGAATGGGAATTTTAGAGGTCCTACTGTGGATGAAATCCGTTGCGCGTTCCAAACCCAACGGAATGATTTGATTCCCCTGTAAATGCCAAAGAATAGTTTCCCTTGGTGTCAAAGTGGTGCAGGATTTCGTCCATCCACAGTATGGGGGGAATCGGGGAATGGGAATTTTAGTTCAGCTGGGGAGAGGTCCTGGGAGATAAGATCAAACCGAACTGAAAAGCTTGAGACCCGTCTATCTTCAACCTCAAGCTGACCTAAGATGATTCTGCAAAAGGACGACTTGATATGCAAAGACCTTGTCGTTTTCAGGACCCCTGGTAGATCCATGTAGAAACAACTCCGATCAAAGGGGCGATCCACAAGCGCGGTCTCGAGCCACAGGGTTTCTTCATAAACCTCTTCCATGCCAAACAAATGTCGCTCGGTCGCAATCAATTCATTGAATTCATCTAGGTCCTCCAGTTGAGAACTTAGAATAAGGGTACCATATTTATTTTTCTGTAGTCTATTTTTGTGGGGAACCCTCCCCCAAAAATGGGTAAAAGGGCACTACTGGGGACCTAGTCATCTTAACCCGAAGACTTGTGGCTGATTACCGCCCTCCGAGCCCGACCGCAAGCTCGCAGCAACCCTAGCCCTGGCAGTTTGCAGCTGGCAGTTTGGGTTGGCAACAAGGCTGGAGCCTGCACGTTGCTTCATTCGTCAGGCAAAGAGTTCCCTTAATTATTTCCCAACAGTGGCATTTTCACAACTTCATCCCCATGGCACCCCCTTCTGTATAATATATATATATATATAGACACCTATGCCTATGCATGGATACATTTGTACAATTTTGTAAATATATGCTTGAGAGGCCGAGACATGTGCGGCCCAGAGGTTGCCAACATAGTACCTTACATTCAATGCAGCAAGTCATTAAAAACCATCCTTGGACCAGGTCCTAACGAAAACGGTTCCCTAGCTGCAAACATGTGGGCGAGATAATGCCCAAAGGGTCCAAGTAACTCCTGAGGACGGCTTTTGGGGGGGCAGAAAGGGGTCTAAGTACCTCCTCAAAAGGTATGGGATGGGACTAGTACTATGGGGGGATGGGTACCGATCCTTTGCTCTGACTGGAGTACTGTGGACTCTGGGTACCGAACCTTTGTCCTTATCCCATCCCAGAGAGTCCTTATCCATGCTAGAGTGCTACTCATGGGATGCTAAGCATAGGTGGCAATGACGTGAAAGCCATCTAAACCAGTGCTATCCATTTTTTAACAAACTAACCAAAAAAGGACACCTAAGGGTCTAAGTACCTCCTCAAAAGGTTCTAGGGGTTGATTCCCCATTCTTTTCAACCATCCTCCTTTTCAAAAAACAGCTCTTTCCCTATATTTGTTTGGTGGCATTCTTTCCAGGGATCCTTCTTTCTAGCAAACCACCCACAATTTGGGGAAACAGCGATCGGTTTTTGAAAAGAACGATGGCTAAAAAAAGAATGGACAAGGAATCAACCCCTAGAACCATGGTAGTTATATGAACATCCAAGTGGGGAGCCATGGTCAAAATTTGGCTCGCCTTCTTCGGCTGCCACAAACTCACAGTGCCGGGGACAAGGAATCAACTCCTAGAATGAGCCCCAGCCATTAGTAAGATCACTCCACAGGAGCAGAAAGAATGGGGAATAGAATCATTGGGAAGCCGAACCTTTCGCTCCAAGGCACGGCTTCGGAGGCGGAGCCAAAGTCCAGCAGATCGGCGCCCTTGGCGGGCGAAGCGGCCGCCTGGCCGCGGCAAAAGACAAAAAGAGAGGATGGAGGTTGGGGTCCTGAAATTTGGATAGTTTGTTTTGCTTGCTTGTTTTCTGCGTTGTTTTTCTTTGTCTTGTTGGGAGGTTCAACAAATGGTATGTTTGGGTACCCACCAAGTAACATGGGTTTGTGCACAGACCCCTGTAGAAACACTACTTTCCTCTGGAATATGGACCGCCTTTTTGCACTTTCATGTTAGTTGGTGGGAGGGTATGTGTTCTTCTTTTGTTTCCGTGCTTTTTTGGGAGGTTCAACAAATTACAATCCCACATTCAGTTCTATCAGGCGAGAGGGTATGTCTTTAGGGGGAACCTTCTGTTGGTTGTGTTTGAGGCAAACCAAGAAGAGAACCAACCATTTTGACTGTAAAAACGCCTCATAGAAAGCACGAACCCGAACGCAAATCGCTTGCCAAAAGCTGCCGTCGTAGCCTTTTTGTGCGACACTTCGGGTTACATGTCTGGGCGGCATGTGTGAGACACAACTGCCACCACAACCCAAAGAAAGGCTGAATGCAGGTGCAGCAGGTCACCACGCGACGCGACGTGTCACGAAGAGATCGCAGCAATACATGCAGCTGCAAGTTCCTCTTTTGCCCTGGGTGTTGTCTCTTGCAACGCTTTTTCTGCGACTTGCGTAGGGGGGGAAAGGACATCAAACCAGGTTCGATTCGACAGCGTGGGCACACCCACCGATTTCAAGCGCAAAGTGGGCTTTCTAGTCCTACCTTCCGATCCTCGGCTGCATGGGCCGTCCGAACCCTTGCGGTTTGCTGTGAAAAGAATAGCTTTTGTTTTTTTTGGGGGGGGACACCCAACCAAAAAGGGACCCCCAAAAAACAAACACAAACACAAACCCAAATGGCTCTTAAGTATCCGTCACATATGCAGAGTTCAGCACCTGTACAGCTGAGCGGAACTCCGCATCAGAATGACGCAGCCTAAGGGTGCTTTTCAATCCAAGTGGTCGTAGATTGTTCTCGGAGTGCATATCACGCAAGACCCATCCAAGGCCGTTGTGGCCTTTGGTGAATTCCGGCCAGCCGATTCGATCAAGAACATGGCCCGCCTTGTTGTGGCTGTCGCTGTTGAAATCCAGGAGGTCCTGAATGAGACAGCACAAACTACTTGCAACCAGCAGCAAAAGCTGACAACGAAAACAGCAAACACCGTCAGGCTACAAGCTTGTCGGGTTCTAGGGCAGATCAAAGGAAACTGGACATCACTGTGCTGCACAGGCATGCCGGGATACTATTTGTTGGGACATCGCGGAACACCCACCGCGTTGGTGGAGAGGGGGTCCCCCTTTTTTTAGCGAAGACAAACCCTGTATGGGCTTGTCGTTGAATGGGGCGAGCCCTAAAACGGGTGGTTTTCCAAATGGGGTATTTTCGAAAACACAAACTGAACAAAAAGGACTTTTTCCCTTCGGACCCCTGATTCGCTCTGCGCAATGTTTCGCCCCCTCCAAAACCATTGGGCAAACACCACAGGACTCCGCACAATAAAGTCCCCGGATCCCTAGAGGTCACTGGATGTCCCTCTTAAATCATCTATACTGGTGGGATCCAGTTCACTGGGTTTATGGCCAAGGTTATTGCCAAACACACGGCTAAGTAGAAAAAGCTTTCAGGGCGGCCCCTCGGGCATGTCTGACATAGACGGGCTTGCGCCGAATTCTGCGAAGGGCAGAGGCTGAAGCGGTGCTCTTGTTCCGTGCTTTTTTGGGAGGGCGGACCCCTGTAAAATCGATCAACACGAAGAAGGGTGCCTTTTTTCCCCCTTTCACTGGGGTCATTGTGAAGAGGCCTGTGTAATCTTCTATACCATCTTCTGAGAAGCAGGTTTGGCGTGCTGCTTACGTGAAACCGAAGCCTTCCCTTCTTGGGGATTTAGGACTGGTTAGGGACCCCGCAGTTTGTGTTGTTGACCCGCAAGCAGGGGGTTCAGCGCCCCAAACCACCAAAGAAAAGAGCACCAGCTAAAACAGGGATCTCGATTTCCCCGTTTTGGACCTGCAACAGCGGTAACCCCAGTGGTAACCAAACAGGGGCGGCCACTCAGTGGGATGCCACGTTGTCGATCATTGCCGGCAGCTCGACACAGGGTCGCCGGTATTTAAGCCATTGAAGCATCACCCAAAAGCCAAGATCAAGATGGCCATGGGTCAAAATCCATCGTTCCCCCAGTGAACATCCCAATCCCCACTAAAATAGAACAAAATGGGTGGTGCACCTACCCCAAAAATGGGAGCCCATTGGTTTTGACCCACCGCCAGATCCCCCACACGTTTTGCAGCGACATATGCGCCCAACAAAGGGGCGCAACTGTCTGTCGCCTGCACCTCATTGGGGCTCCCCGCCACGGCAGGGGCGGGACTGGAGCGTGTTTGAGTCCGCTTGGTTTGTGGAAGACCGGCCGCTTTGATCCAAACTTTTATGCACTCAGGGGCAGGGTCCAAGGATTGTGGTCGATGATACAGGGTAAACGCACCTCAAGCTTAATGTGGAGAATATATAAGGGCTTGAAGCATGACAAGCTTTCTTCGCCCATAGTGTGGTAATTTGGCTTAGTTGAACCCGGCAGCATGGAACGCAAAGGGATGCAAGAAGATTATGGTTTTGGGTTCCGTGATCAGGGAAGATCCTCACAAGGAGACATAGGAGAAAAACAAAACAATGCGAGATGGACCTCGCTTGCAACCCCAGCAACAAAAATATAGGACTCCCAGGGAAATGCGTGAACTCATCTAGAGCACGTTCGATCCCCGAAACAACGCTGCCTGGAATTTAAATTGGAATAGTTTGAGAATCGATCCCCGTACCACGGCCCTTTGCTCACTTTGCAACCATAAAGACCTCCGGGTTCATGGCTCGAAACTTTGAGTAAACACGAATCAAACTGGCTGAAATAGGTCGACGTGGTTAATTTAATCGGATCAACCGACAATGCACGGGGAGGCTGCTGCCAGCCATGGCATTCCCTACCATTGACCCATCAAGGGACTGTGTTGAGCAACCTTACTACCACTACCCCCACAAGGGGATTGTCTGATTGTTCAGAGGACAGCTGTCAGTCACAAATCAGTTGATCGTTGCAATGGCTTCGAAGTAATGTTGACCCCATATTGATCAACCAGCCAGTTTATTAAAGGGGGTGGTTTTGGCCCCTCCAAAAGTGGTCTGATTCCCCAACAAACCACGGGAAACGCACCCCCGTAATAATACACTGGGGTTGATTAACACGTCCAACATTACCCCCACGAGGGGATTGGCTGATTGTCCTTTGAGACATATCTCAAACAAGCGGCACGATGGCTAACGATGGCTAGGGATACTTAACGTCCCGGCGTGGCAGATGAACAAATGGGATCAACAATTTCTGGGATCAGTTTATAGGCAGAGTGTTTCCCATGCTCCCTACGAAGAACACGCCAGACAGTAAGGTGATCTTAAATAGGTTCTATCGATTTTGCTCTAACTTGCAAGACACACAAACACACAACAGCACGAGACACACACACACAAACACAACAATCACACACACACACACACACACACACACACACACACACACACACACACACACACACACACACACACGCAAACGACACGTAACACAGACCACACAACCAAGAATACACAACGCGCACACACACACACACACCACAGAATGCATAGCACATAGACATAGGCGCACAAACATATACTTGTTACACGGACAAAATCTAACATTCGCCAAAACGCGACTTCTGTGATACCGCTGGAAGGCCTGACGGCCAATTCCTAGGGGCTTTGCGGGGCTTCTGAAACCCCCATAGGATTCGCACACGAACTGCGCACTGAAACAGCCGGAGGTCGACTGGACATTGCTCGCAATTAAACCCCCCGAAACTACTTTGCAAGGTGTTGGACCTCAGAATGCAGGCCATTTTGCGTCAAGATCCGAAAGAATCTCTGGACTGGCTTGCTATCCGGGGAGTCGTCCTTAGCGTACTCCCCTAATGGTTCGTTGTATCGTTGTATGGGTGTCAAGGCTCGACATGGCTCCGGGTTTACTGGAAGTTACGGTGGATGCCCACCCCAAATAGGTCCGTCCAGAAGGCCAACTTCTAGGCCAAGTGCGTCCAACATAAGCTCAATGGAAGTATACCAGGCCAGCATAAGTCGAACGTCAGCGCAACAGAAGCGGAACATCAATGCAGCACAAGCACAACCTCAGGCCAACATAAGTCCAACGCCCCGATAACACAAGTAAAACAGAAGAAACATCATCAGACCAACATAAGTCCAGCGTAAAGCACGACATCAGACTAGCATAAGTCCAATCTCAGCATATCACGATCAAACACTTTCTGAAACATCTGAAACATCTGAAACATCTGAAACATCTGGAACACCCAAATACAGTCAAATAACTCAAACACTTTCAATATCATGACATTAAACAAACGTTCAACACATAAAACAACACACAAACACAACAACATTTGACAGCATTCAAGACAATCAGACACATTCAAACACACGCCAAACAAAAATCCCAACAAATTTCTTCAGCTTTTTGGTGGGCTAAACTGCTTACTTGGCCGTTTGGCTGGTTGGCCGGCTTGTATTTTTTTGCCTTGGCTAGAGCACGCTGAGCCATTCGCTCCTGACATTTGACGCCTCAGCATTGTTGGGCGGTCATCAAATGCACATCCAAACGCTGTGTCCCAAAGTCACCCGAAAACGGATCGAAATAAATTAAATTGAAGTAAATGAAAATGAGTTGGTCACCAAAAAAATGGATTGAATGATGATTGAATGAAATTGAAGTAAACTGAAATAAATTGAATACTCCTTGTAACGCCCCATGAGTGTTCTTCCTTACAAATTATCGCGAAGTGTTTTTGCCAAGTCGGCAAGCAAAATCACAACTCTCCAGAATATAATGAGGCATTGTCCCAGCATTGCAATCAGACAGTGGTAATTTCTCAAGAAGACACTATTGGGCCTATCTAATTCCAACATAAACACACCATCAGCCAGCAAAAAGAACAACACCAGGCCGACACAAGTATTGTATAAGTCAAAGACAAGTCCAACAACAAAGTCCATCTGTCACAACAAAAAAATCCTAACATCGGGCCAAGCAACGGCGTCAGCCGCCACATCCAGCTACCAACTAACCAGACGATTCCATGCCCGAAGGGACCCCTTGAAACACCTGGAAGACCAGACCAATTTGCTTCCGGATCGGCCGATCGGCCGATCCGTAGCTTCCAGAAGGAATCGAATCTGAGGAAGTGTAGCTTTTTTCCGCCGGGGGAAAAAAACGGGGAAAACAAAAACAAACCAACATATATATATTATATATATATATATATGTATATATATATATATATTACATATAAATAAACACACACACCCACACACTCCGGCGGGTTTGGTCCCCCAGCTCCGACTTCTTGGGCGGCGAGGCAGGCGAGGCCGGGGAGGTGGGCGCTTCCCTGAAGTGCGTTGACGCTGGAAGGGGAGCAAAGATTGAAACTTTAGCTAAAATGGATTTCCAATAAGTGGCTTTGATAAAGCTAAGCTTTTAGTTAAAAGATTTGCCCCCTAAAGGGCGTTCCCAGCAAATCACCATAAGCAAAAATGCAAAATGTTTCCCAACAACAACCATGGAAAGTGCACAGCTCTCACCCTCCCACCCGTTTCACATGGAACCGCGCGACGTTTCGGCTCCCATGAAACTTGCTCTAACTTATCCGTCCCACGAACATAGCACCTAGAGAAAACTGATCTTTCGGGCGGCCTCCTGCTATACTTTGTTGGAGGAAGGGTATTCCCTTCGGCCCCCAGTTTTAACCATTGGCAACTTGTCCCATGTGCGTTGGAAGATCATAAATTTGTTTGTGGGTCATGACATGTAAAGGAGCTTTGATCAACCCCGACTTGGGTGCTTGGCAATAGTGTTCACTTCGGATTCTGGTGCCCAGTGGCGAGTTTTCTCGTACAGAAATAAGCTACTTTTGGGGTTGCCTCTGACTAGGCTCCTCCGGAATAATCCAAAGTTTAAGAAGGTGTATCAAAAGTAGGCCCTTTTCGGTATCCCTTGACAAGGCGGCACAAGGCGGCACCAGGTCCCCAAAAGGGTGACAACTCCCCAAGTTGCTTGCAACCTAGGTGTCAGCAGTTGCGATTACCCTACCCACTGTCTTCTAGTGGAGCTCATTGAGTTCAGCCTGGTGGGTAACCCAGGCCAATCGCTGCCGGAATACCTAAGAAAATCTCTTACCCGTCTGGGGAAATTTCTCTTTGGCTTCGCATCCACAGCTTCCAAACCCCAGATGATGTCCTTTAGGATTTTTTTGATAGATGAACAAGGCACCAAGCTGAAACCAGCGGAATCTATGTTTAAGCAAAGCCTAGAAACACCTTGGAGCCAATGCCTGGGATTTATTGAGCTCTGGAGGTCTGGACCGACCGACCAATTTAGCAACGGGGGGCCAGGGTTGTCGACCCCGACTCCCATCACCACAGTGGGGTCACTAGCAGCAGTTCGTTCTACCACATACGCCTCAACTCAGCCGCTTCATCGCAGCCATACAAATGCGAAAGTGTCTCAAAGGTGGGCGATTGCGCTCTGGTTCCCAAACCAAATCAAAACAGTCCACCCGAAGAATAAAAAAGGAAGGCACGCCCAAACAGCCCATGTGTGTGGAAAGGCTCTCTCGTGAGTGTTCACCTGAGGCACATTCAATATATATATATATACATTCTTCCTGGCTGTGGACTAATTGTGTGTCCCTCTAAACTTGATTGCTTTCTGCTGCCCTGCTAAAAGTTTAACTTTTGGTGTTTTAATGGACAGCCAGTTGGTTGTCAAAAAGTTAAAGTCCTAACATCCAAGCAACATGCAACAAAGCTAAATTGATGCATAAATCTGGATATTTCAGGCGAATCCATGGATGCGTGTGCGTCCGCACCTGCGACTCACTTCCGTCTCTTTGCGTCTGTCCTCCTGGCCGATGGGTTTCTTGCAGCTTAGGTCGACGACAATTCTCTTAGACGTGTGCCACATGTTGGGAGGGAACTGGGGACATTTCGAGGTCTCCAAGCCAAATGGGTCAAAATCCACATCGAACTCGGAACATCCGTTCAATCCCCACTAGAATAGGTTCAAAATTTGGTGCACCTACCCCAAAATGGGAGCCCATTGGTTTTGACCCACTGCCAAATGGTTTCCCCACAGTCAAGACTGTAGCTTTGATCTAGGGGTTGATTCTCCGTTCTTTTCAACCACGTAGCCGTTTTCCCGGGGTTTCCGGAAGTTTTCTAGAAAGAAGGATTCCTGGAAAGAATGGGGGAGGTACCCCTAGACTTGAGCATGTCACTCGGGCCAGCCGGGACCCCGTTACGAGCGAAGCAAAACGCTGAGGTACTCCAACCATGGGGGGACTCCCCAAAACTGTGTTCAAAAAAACTGGAGAAAAAAAAAGGCGAGAGCTGGAACCTGCATTCGGAAATTTGTATCTGTATACATATATATATATATAGCGTCACCACAGCGATAGGTCCTCTTGTATCGCCTTGCATGTTTGATCAAACTCTTGCCAGCTGATCTGTAAGGCGGTCTGAAAAGGCATATGATGACCCCCATGTGAAACAAGCGTTGCATGATGGCATGGCTGAATGTTGGGGCCGTGGTGCTCCATGCTCTGCCGATCCGAAAGTAGCGCGCGCGGCAGTGTCCTCATCCTTTCGGCGTGCCTGCAAGCATGCCAATCTGTTGGTAGCACTTGTGTCCTGATTGAAACTCAGCTGGTTCTAGGTCATGGTGACAGAAAATCGGGTGGTACCATCTCACTCAGATCATGATCCGGCCGTGGATGTCAAACAACAAGTTGATGCAGTGAGAGGAGCATAATTCTCGCAGTCAGTCTGTCTTTTTTGGAGCGACCCCCCCCCAAAAAAAAGAAGGTGGGGTTTCCTCTTGGTTTCCCTTTCTAACCACAACAAAGGGGTACCCTCCAAAAAGAGACAGACCCGTATGAGCTTGGTTCCTCGCCAAGCTCGGCACAGTGCTTGCCTCTCGTTGGCACCCAGCCAGAAATAACAGCAATGGACAAAGTTTCTTGCTTCGTTCAGAACACCAAGGGACAACTAGTCGGTCCCTGTGTGTTGTGGGTGTGGGTGGTCACGCCCATCTACTCAAATCAACAGTAGACTTGAAGGAAGCTCACATGTACAAACAGCGATTCGCTGTACCCTCCCCATTCTGTTCAGGGATCCTTCTCCTTGCACAACAGATTCAACACCAGGAAATGGGTGGTTTGTAAACGGAAGGATGGGGGAAGAAACTCGGGAATCAACCCTGGCGAAAGCTTGGCTTACATTGTCTGTCAAACTCGGTCATGGTCCAACAAAACCTGCGTCGAAAAACAAAAAATGGGACCACCCAAAAAAAGACACCAAGTTGCACCACTCAAGTTTGACCCCTTCGGTGGCGCTAGAGACAACGAATTCGGTGAGATCTACGCTAACCCAACACGGTTGTGTAAAAACAGGGGTTTTGGACCCCAAAAAGAGATTTCGGCTTCTACTAGGTTAAAGTGTACCCAGCGCAAAAGCGCAGCGCGTGGAACCTCTGCCACAACCTCCCCTGCCACTTAAGCCGAAGAGGTCTCAGGTGTTTTAGGCTCCATGTTCAGATCTGCCAGTGACACGGCACTGACCCCAACGTCATACAGCTGCCCCATCTTCAGATAAGATCCTTGGCTGAGGTCTCCGCGATAATCATTCAGCGGGAAAACGTTGATGTATTCATTTTTTCCCGAGCAGCCATGGGCCTTTTTCCCCATGCTCCATGGGCATAGTGGTCCAGTGGAACATATGAGTATGGGTCACAATTAACCCACCAGGCACCGCAGGTTTTAGCCCTTCTTTCCATTGGCCGGGTTCTATGTTGGGCCGATTTTTGACCCACAGCAATATAACGGAACACAAACCTGTTGACATGGAGCCATCAAGTACCAACGACCTGCCTGCTGTGCTCGCCGCCTTTCCTTCAACCTGAGCGAACATGGCAACGGAAGGGAGATACATACGATCCCTTCCCCCATACAAGTTTGCCCGCCGCTCACCCCTAATGATGAATATCTAACTGGAAAGCAAATGCAACAGAGTCACAGGCGGTTTCGCGCGTTGGGACAATCTACCCAGGAACTGTGACTTGGACATGAACTACTAGCTTGAGTTCAGGGGTACTCTCGAGCAAACATTGAAGCGAGTAGTCTCCCTTCCCAAATCCCATACCTCTTGCAGTTGGGGCCATCTGCAGTTTCAAATGACACTTATGTAATTGTAAACTGCAATTCCAAACTGTGCCTTCCAATTTTGATCTGAAACAATAACGATCATTAACCGAAATCATGATGTGTGCGAGGTTGACGGTGCGTGTTCGACACTCAAACGGTCTTCCCAGAAAAAATCACGTTGACCCGGATCAATAGATCTTGCGGACAATTAGGGGCGGTGTCACAACCAAGAATGATCCAGATTCCCTCTCAACTGCTTGCCCCCCCCCTTTTAATCAACCACGGCTTCATTATCATTACTTCCGGGGAGTCGATGGGTCTGGGCAAGCTACAATTCACACACCCAAAGCCAGGAATCAGGAAAGCAATCTTCATGGGGACCGAGGTCGCAAAGCAAATCACGGAAAAATTGCCCGAGGACCCAGATTCAAGCATTGATCCCAGGTCAACTTTACAAAGACATGTCTCTCCAGGAAGAGAAGTAGGAAAACTGGTGGCCTGCCAGATGCAAACTAAGATCAGCATGGTTTGCCAAAAAAATGCAAGGCCCATGGGTCCAAGAATGGACACCTCAAAATACCCGACCTACGTCGAACAAATGCCCAAACGGAACAAACGCCGAATCAAGCGAGACCAACCAAAACCGAAACGAAGCCAGTCATAAACGAAGTTCGTAAGTTTGATCGCGCCTCTGGACTCTTCGGACGGTGGTGGGCATGCGCACGGCTTCCTCCGCTTCCTCCTAAGGTGTCGGTCTCTCTCTCTCTCTCTCTCTCTGTCTCTCTCCCTCTTCTTGTTTTGTCTGTCCGTATCTCCGTGTGGATGTGTGTACGGGTGGCATGTTTCACCTTCTTGGGCGGACTCCGAACAGAAGCTGCGACCCGTAAGGGGCCATGGATCTAGGGGTTGATTCCCCATTATTCTCTAAAAACCAGCTGTTTCCCCTGGGGTTCTGATGGTTTTCTGAAAGAAGGATGCCTGGAAGAATGGAAATGGAAGTGTCCCCTCGAATGGATCGAAACAGTCCAGCTCGAGTTTGATCGCTTTCTCTCCAGCCTCAGCCGCTCCACCCCCAATGAGGAAGTCCAGGGCCGCCTCCAGCGTTGGCCGTCTACCGATTGACTTCACTCCCAAAATGTCACGGTTGCACAAAAAGCATGGGATAATCGGAATCAGAACCTGGGAGAATTGGTTTGTTTTATTTTCCCAGAGAGTCCAAGCACCTTTTGAGGAGGTGCTTAGACCCCCAAAAGCCATCCTCAGGAGCTACTTGGACCCTCTGTTTTTTCTCTTTGTTTTTTCTGTTTTTTGTTTTCTTCTTTTTCTTTTTAGAACGTGCTATTTCACATTGGAAATAGCGTGCTATGGATTTGAGTTGCAGAAACCTGGTACTTCCCTCAGGTAGGCAGGTGGTAGGCCAAAGGCAGTGGGGCAAGTCTGAAAGGAAAGGACGCCCAGTTCTTCCATTCTCCTGGCAAACAAGGAAACGATCCTTCAAAACTCAAGGGAACATGGCTGGTTACCTGCTACAGTCATGCCGGGATTTAGTGGGAGGTTAAAGTCAAATCCACCACCTATGTTAAAATCCGGTAGCTGCACCATGGGGGCATCCTGGCTGAAAGTCACACAACACGTGAGAGACCAAATTCTATTGACAATATATGTCCTAATATGGGAAAAGCTCCACGTGTCCCGAGTTTCCTTGGCTATCAAATAGTTGGGAGTTGATCAAAAGGTCCGGCAAAACACGGGATGACCGCCAGGGGAATCACCAAAGATTCTAGTTCCCACAAAAAACGGGACAAGCCCATCATTTTGGGCCCATGGAATTATCGAACCCCCAAATACTGCGAATATCTTGAGAGAAAGGGAAAGCACAAGTTGTCGAGTCATTTTCTGAGGGTTTTTGTATTACACCCTGGGATTACACACTTGGGAAATGACCCAGAATGGTTCAAAATAACGCGGTTTTATCCGGAAATGTGACTAAATGAGGTCAATACCCAGTGGGTGTATTCCCACCAGGGTGTGATACAAAAACCCTTTGACATTTTTGGGCGCCCAAAAGGCTAAGGCAGTCTTCCATGACAAGCTTCGCAACATCCGCGGATGCTGCCGCGGATGCTTCCGAGCCCTGAAATAATTTCTTCCCCGCAGTAGTAAATGCACCCCACGAAGAAATACTGTTTTCTCAGACCCCAGGATCCCCGTAGTACTTTTAGAATACGCCAAACCTGCCGATTTCGCGCCAATGCTCATACTAGTCTGCCGAGGGGGGATTCCAGCACCAGATATAAATTCAAATTTGCATTTTACTAACTTACATTTACTTCATTTGTAAAATTCTAAGTCCAACATTGGCTTTTTACTGTTGAACGGTAAAACAAGAAAAGTAACCTTTAACAGGTTTAGTCAATTTGTACTCGGAAAATTGCGATTTTGACGGCTTTCATGTCCGGGAAAGGCGGGGAGCCCTTTTGCACGAGGACCCACGAGGAAGCGCGTCGACCCCGAATTAACCCAATATCGTTTGGGCCCCGGAGAACAATATCATACTCGTATATAATATCATATCATATATACATGATAGTTTTCTTGTTTCTTGGGGGGCATCCATGTTGGTTGGCAACCCCTCACTTGCTTAACAAATCTTAACAAGGTGTTTGCTCGCTGCTCACCTGCATGGTTGCAAACGCCGCCAAGCACAAGTACTTTGCAAATGCAGGACAGAAACTATTGCTTTCCGCATACAGTATAAACTGCATTTGAGCCAATATATATATATATATATATACATATATATACCTGAGGCCCCTAACATGCTCTTTTTTCAGCACCACTTGGAAAAATGATGTTTTTCCGAAAAATTGAGCACCAGATCGGGTTTTTTAGCACCAGAACGGCTTTTAGAACACCAAGGTGATTTCGCAACACACATTTTTAGTTTTACGTAAAATGTACGACATGCGAACGGTTCGCGAACGGTTTGCGAACGGGTTTTGAACGGGTTTTGAACGCTTTACGAACGGTATTTCCAACACCAAATCCTAGGCACGGCCCATGTCATGACGCAAAAAGAACGTCAACATGCAACGGATTATGCAAAAATAACGCAATCGATGGATTCCCAGCAAGCGACATCAGCAACATAAGGTTCGGTCTGCTCCGCAAGCCCGAATGGTTCTTGTAGCACCAGTGTTGAAATTTCAACACCAAGAAGGCAAAACGATCATTTTCCTGAAAATCGATCAAATTCAACAGTTTTTAGGGCAGCAGGTATATATATATATAAACAAACGTGACTTGCAATGCGTACAGTTCCATTCTTCAATTGTCTGATGGTCAATGTCCTTTTGGTTTCTCTTTAAACCGCGCCAAAAACGGGTACCCTCAAAAAGAGACACGACGCCCAAAACCTCATTTCTCCCCGTGATGTGGCCTGCGTGTCGTTCTTGAACTTCCGCAAGGCTTGCCGTGCAGGGCCTGGCGCGTGGTCCCCACTTCACGTTTCTAGCAACAAGGTAAATGCATGAATGAGTGAAATTCTCGGGATCACACCCTCCCCCCAAATTCCATGTTGAAGGTGGAGATGTATTCAGACAGTGAACAACAGGTAGAATCCACCAAAATTTATCTCGGGGGGTCCTCTTTTTGAAGGGGCTTCACGTTAAGTTTCCCCCCAATCCCAGACCTCCAACGGCCACGGGAAAAGAAGGCTCTCTTTTGGTAGCTGTTTGTTTTTTGAGAGGCAGATGATGAAGAACCCTTCATCGCTAGCATCGCCTCCTTTATATATATATATATATATATGGTACAGCGTTGCCAGCCCCTTTTCCCCCTCCCCCCCAATGGTCATGGGTCAGACAAGTGCGCCCCCCCCCCCCTGTGGTTGTGGTCCTGTGAATGGGTTGTGGTGGTTTAGGGTTGGTTTAGGGTTGGTTTAGAATTGGTTTAGGGTGTATTTAGGGTTAGTTTAGGGTTAGTTTAGGGTTTGTTTAGGGTTGGTTTATGTTGATTTAGGGTTGGTTTAGGGTGGTTTAGGTTTACAGGTTTACGGTTTGGGGTTTGGTTTAAGGTTTGGTTTAGGGTGTATTTAGGGTTGGTTTAGGGTGTATTTAGGGTTGGTTTAGGGTTGGTTTAGGTTTAGGGTTTGTTGTTTAGGGATTGGTTTAGGGTGTATTTAGGGTGTATTTAGGGTTGGTTTAGGGTTGGTTTAGGGTTGGTTTATGTTGATTTAGGGTTGGTTTAGGTTTAGAGGTTTACGGTTTAAGGTTTAGTTTAGGGTTTGGTTTAGGGTGTATTTAGGGTTGGTTTAGGGTTAGTTTAGGGTTGGTTTATGGTTGGTTGCGGGTTGGCTTGTCCTGGGGTGGGGGTGCCGGGGTGTTGGGGTGCGAGTTTAGGGGGTCGGGGTGAGGGTGGGAACGTAGGTGCCAGGATCCGGGGGCTCCGGGGTCTCGGGTTGGGGGGCGGGGGTCCTGGGGGACCCATACCATCTGGGGGGGGGGGGGGTAGCAACACGGAACACGGGACCATATATATATATATATATATGTTTATATGCGTCTCAAACACAGCAAAATTACAATCAACACTGCAACAAAAAAAACAAGCAGACTTGTATATATACATATATGCATAAGCTTGATCGACTTGAGGGCAACCGAGTTATGCAGCATCAATCCAAGTCATATAACCATCCAGCGGTGAAAGAAGTCCAAAGCAAGTGCGAGGCAAGCAAACGCAAGGCGTTCGCCCGCACAGTCATTTAGAACAATGCTCATATATCTGTCGTGTGAGATTGATGCATGACAGTGAGCAAGCTTGCTTCATGATCTAGATCTTCAAGTGGACTAACATGTCTAAGCCACTGCCGAACACGCCGACGATGTCCCACGAGCGGTCATGCGTCTGGGCTGCAAAGGTAGCCTGGGAGTTCCCAAAATATTACGTTCTCATCGTGTTCGTAATTGGGCACAAATACCCGCACGCTTCGATGTTTGTTTGTCTGCTTGCTTGGTTGTTTGCTTGTTTGTTCGCCCAGGAATTTCTTGTTTTTTTCAGCATATGTTTGAGATTGTTTGAGATGTGCAATGAACACAGCGAAACCACAAAAGTAGAGTGGTTCAACGTATGGAAGACAAAGGCATCTACAATCCGAGCATCTAGATTGAGCTTTGCCGCTGAGCCCTTATTTGCAGGAATGGAAAAAGGCATCTGGCGGGGCTACGTGAACCTTTCGTGAATGGGCAAAGGATAAAAACCCTTCCTCGAACCCTTCCGCAACCTAAGAAAGAATCACATGCTCAAATCAATTATTTCACGAATACTACTTTCAATTGCAGGGAATTTAGAACTCTGCTCATACACAAACCATATGTGAAATCATCAAATTAAGCACTTACCATCCACTATATGCCCACAATTCATTCCTAGAAATCTTCACCTCACATTATTCGAGACAACCACTCCAAAAATATCCTCAACTTCCAAAAATATCAACCAATATTCCCGAGGTCATCGCGTTGCTTAACAAATCAGGAAAACCCCAAAACTACCCCCTACCCGCTCAAACATATTCCGTACATGTTGTTCCAGACAAATCATTCCAAGGTGTAATGTTGTGCCCTGGAACATTTGGCTGTGGCTCACAAATAGTACCCAACATGGCACCTCGGTATATGGAAGCAAACGCCCAAACCTGCGTGACCCCGGCTGCTTAAACATTTTTGAGCCCCATCCATTTGTTTTACGGAGGGACCATTGAACTTGAATAAACTTGTCTCTAAGTGGAACCCTCAAATTCGGTGTTCCTCAGTTTTCCCTTCATCTTTCCCTCAAGAAGCCAAGCCAGAAAAAAGCGGGGCCGCCGCAAACTTGTTCAAACGGGTATGGGTCAAAATGAAACCACCAGGAACTGGCCCGCAGGTCTTGGCCCTTGTTTCCACTTCCCAGGGCAAGCCATTTTGGGGTGACCATATTTTTGACCCGAAGCTCGACCTCCGCATCGATTTTTGTTCGCGCGAGAGGAGCTGCGCCTTCGTCGAAGCCTTGGGAGAGAAGAGAGGAGAGCGACAAGGGATCCACCGGCACCGACGGCCCATCCTCGGAAACCGCGGCATCGAAAGCGAGGCCGGGCTTTCCGAAAGCGGAAGGAGGCATAGTTGAGCCATAACCGAAGCCGATCGGTATGGCATACCCAGAAATCATATAAGGAAATAAACAGAATCCAGAGTCATGTGAGGAATTACTTGGGAATTACAATGGTAGTATTAAATTGTCCTAGTCATACACTGTATTAAATAGCCCCATGTGAGGAATATTGAAAAGACGGCAAAGGCACCCATCTGTGGTGGGGGTTCATCTCGAATCGGTTTTGATTGCGGCTCTGCTGATGGGTTGGGGGGTTGAGGATGTTCGGGGCCTTGGCGGTTGGGAAGAGGGCAGTGGGCGGTCTCCAGCGCAGGGAAAACCTGACTTTCGGGGAGTCCTGGGTTGGACCATTTTGCTTTTAAAGGGACTGTCAAACGTCAGGCTCCGGCTGCTAATTGGTGGGAGGGGAATTAGAAACACAACGTGAAGCCAGAAAAGAGTTCTCAAGGACAGGAAGCTTCAGTCTGGCAAGTGACTGTAGTTTGCCCAACCCAACAACCAGCACAACGTTTACAGCTAGGAATGGGCATCCGCATGTTGGTCAGCCGTCAATGCCCATACCCGTCCGAACCACTTGGCACAGCTTTCTGACCCATCAGCACAGGTGATTCTCCAATTACAAGTGGACCAACCACATCCAACCGCAGAACCCTGGACATGCGCGGTACAGTAAATTGCAGGCTTTGCCGTAGCCCCATACTCCCCTTGCAATATTCTAGTCTGGAATTAGGACCCCAGCAAGACAATATATATATATATATTTGTTTTGCCTGGTTAGTGGAAAACAAAGGGACCCCAAAAAAGCAAAAAAACAAAAACAAAAGGGGAGCTAACTCTGGGGAAGTATTGAAGGAATCCACTTGTAGGATGGGAAGTTCTCTTTCAAAAAAAGGCTCCAACCGCGGTGCTCACATGGCCATCGATGAGACCGTTGACAAGTGAATCTAGTTTCTCTTTGCTCAAGGCGCACTTCTAAAGCAACGTGCCTGCAGAATTGACCCGCTCATGAGCATTTTCCTTTACATAACTTTGAAGAATATTCAACATTCCACATGACTCGAGGTCACAGTATTCCACAATCACAGAGATCCAAACATCCACAAACGAAACCGTCACAAACAAACCCATGGCTATCCCTTCAAAGGGCCATAGCCTCCCGTGGGGCGATTCGCATTTTTTTCAAAATGCCCCCGTCCCTCCCAACCTGTTGATGTTTTCAATCGGGCACCTCCACGTGGCTTCCACCCGCTTCAGAGTTCTTAGGAGATTTGCTCTTTAGACGCAGTTCTGACTGGCGAATGTTGACCCCGGATTGTTTATTACAGAAGGGGGGTGTTTCTGGGTTTTGTGGAGAACCATACCACTTTTGGAGAGGAACACCCCCATATTAATAAACTGGGGTTGATTAATCTGGGGTCAACATTACATTGACCGTTGCACGCTTTGATCGCAGACCGACTCAAGAGCTATGTTTTCGTTACAGGCCCAATTGTTCTGAAGAGACGATGCCAAATCCATCGAAAGGAAACACTTGCCAATTGCGAATATGCTCAAAGTCGTTCACAAGTTCAAATGAGTGGTGTTGCGCTGATCTTTTCACAACACGAAGAACCCGCAACTGCAGAGCTTGGACGCTCCCAGCTGAAAACGTCCTTCCCAGTGAATCCACCACTATACTTGCTGGTGCGATCGGTATGTGGTTCAATGAAACCATCCCTCAAGAAAACCACCAGCAAGGGTTATAGGCCACCAGGATCGTGACACCAAAAACTGCAAAGATCTTTGGCTGAGGACCATTGGATGATTCTTGGGGTCAGACTCCATTTCTCCTTCCCTGCCTATCGCACACCAAGCAACCAACCCACCAAACCACCAACCCATCAACCCACCAACCCACCAACCCACCAACCCACCAACCCACCAACCCACCAACCCACCAACCCACCAACCAACCAACCAACCAACCAACCAACCAACCAACCAACCAACCAACCAACCAACCACCTGCCGGGGTTAGCCCTGTGCCAGGGCTAGGCCAAAAAAAAGCACCCTTTCCCCAGCAAGCAAAAGGCAACACAAGTTGAATCGCCCGACCTAAGGCCGGGGCGTCAGCGGCGGAGTCTAAGCCCTCTCCGGGCTTGTTCTTATTGTCCTGCGGCTCCAGCCCAAAACACCCAAAACATCGGGCCGAGGCTCCAACACCCAAAATATCTGCGGGCACATCGAGCCGACCTAAGATTCATGAATCTAAATGAGGTCAATAGGGGCTTTCAGGGTGGGTTTTGGTTGAATATGTCAACCAAACATTGCATGAAAGGAATGGCTGCACACCCCCGGTCTGGATGCACACGATGGATGAATCCCCATGGTGTTAAGGCTTCAAGGTGACAAGGTGCCCCTTTAACACTGATCATGCCCCCCTCAAAGCAGTACCTGCGGCATGACAAGAGGCTCATAAATTAGAGTACCTGGGACCTAAAATGAGCCTCAACCCATGCAGCTTTTCCCCCCGAACCAATGCCGTTCTTGAAGTGGTCCATGTGTTCTCCATCCCTGACTTACCAACTGAGTTTTGGTTGTAGGTCAACTGAATACCTCCATTTGCTGAGGTCCCAAGGGAAAACTCCAGTAGTGATAGATTCCCTTTACAACCAACAGGGCCAACTAAAACATACTCCGAAGCAAACGAAAAAAATGTTACGGAGTATTTAGCAGAACACTTCCCGTGGCTTCCCAACAAGTGTAGCCTCCAAGAAACGCAGATCCTAAGTGATCCCAATCATGTGCTACCATTCTCGCACGAGCCGTTTCCAGCGGTCTGTAAGAAATATCCAGCTGGATTCAGAATGAGTGACACCTACGAGTCTCCATGACCCTTTGAACATAAACTTGGTATACCAGCACCCCCCCCGAAAACAGCTGTTTTTTGGACAGTACTTGAGAGTTTGGACACGGACATGTGTGCGTGTCTTGTTTTGAGGGTACCTCTTTTTTGGTGGTTGTACAGGGAAACCGAAAGGAGAACCACTGTCTTATTTTGAGGGTGCCTCTTTTTTGTGTGGTCTTAATTAAAGGGAAACCGAAAGGACAGCCACCATGTTTGCGAAAAGTCCCCCAAAAGGATCCATCGCGCAATGGATTTTCAAAACGGGGCTGGGCCAACTTTGGAGCTGGAATGTGGAGGGACTGGGTGAAGTTCTGAGCGACATGGGGGACTCAAAAACCGGGGCAAGACCATGTTCCACTTTTGGGTGTTTCTAGGGGTACCTTCCATTTCCATTCTTTCCAAACACTTGTACAAAGGGGTTCCAACAAAAGTGTTGCGCCGTGCCCACGCTGTGCGCACATCACTCAGAACTTGTCCACTTTTAAGGTGGTTTCAACTCTTACACATGGCTGTTGCTCAAAACATGCAACCCAAAATGGCACCCAGGTAAATGGAAATAAATACCAACACCTGCGGCTCGCCCTGGCTCTTGAGCTTTGAGCCACACCCACATAGAATCAACACTTCCCGCGTGGGGTGCCCAACAAAAAAGTCCAAACTGTTTGTTTACCACCAACATGGGTCATTCCACAAAGCAAGTCCATAATCTCAGGAAGTCTAGGTCCTCCAGTAGAGAGCTTAGAATAAGGGTACCAACTTTTTTCTGTAGTCTATTTAGTGGGGGAACCCTCCCAACCAAAAAAGAAGCGGTAAAAGGGCACTATTGGGGGACCTAGCTTATAGGTGGGATTATCATTTGCCAGGACACATTTTCTCACGGTTCACCGTTTCGGGTCCCACGACAAATGGACCAACGAAAACGGAAAGGTCCAATGGTCAAGTCGCCACTTCCGGGCGAAATTTAAAGAAAAGCCACGAAAGCGCCTTGGCCAGCTTCTCGATGAGCCGCGCGGAGAAGTCGGTGACCACGTCGTCCTATCCCGCCCGGCACGCCGGGACCCCAAAGCGGGGATGTTGGGCCGAGTTGGACAAAAGGAGTTGCCCCCGTAAAAAAAATGGCCGCAGGTGCATAGGTGGACTTTTGGACAAATAGATGGCCCTGGTAAATGAAATGCAACCCATCTAAACCAGTGCCATCCATTTTCAAACAAACTAACCAAACAAGGACACCTAAGCGCAGGTGTGCGTCCTTGTGTTAAGGTGTTGACGTGTCTCTCATGTTTTCTTCTTTTTGGGGTCGTTCAAGAGTGGCTTAGCACGATGTCGCCGAGTCTTTCCGCAAATCTCTCGAGCCATTGGCTCGACTCATTTACCCTTACTTTCCAAAGGATCAGGTGAGGAGAACCGAGATCAGTGCCTCATTTCGAGCAGATTGAACCAGCGCCATTTTCAGCCCCTGTTGTTTCAGGCAGGGAGATTGCGCAGCGCGATCAGGATTTAACATGGCAGATTCATCGGCCGAGTGAGCTCAAACGAACAGGAAAGGCATACCTGGAGTCTGAACGGCCCTCAAAAACGGGGTCGTGACCGCGTATGTTGTTGTACAACATAGATCGATACATATATATATATATATATGCATGTATGTATGTACGTACGTACGTACGTACGTATGTGTGTATATATGTATGCATATATGTATGTATATACATATGTATATGACCCCACGTGCATGTGTGTGTGTGTGTGGCAACATGGAGACCTGCAGGTTGAGTGGCTCACCAAAAAATCAGAATCGACACCCCAGAAAGGAACCTTGATCACAAATATGGGGCCCGGTGTCCCTCCTGGTTTTTTTGGTTAACCCGTTAACCCCCCTTAGCATCAACCACAATACCCATAGGGCTTAGGGATTAGGGTTTCGGGCTTATCATGGGTGTGTCACCACCATTTTGAGGGTGCCCTCAAAAAAGAGAGAGACACACCCAGATTGGAAACAGGAAAGAAGGACAATCTGGGCAATTGATTCAAAGAAGCATAGGCTGGGCTCGCCTTTTTGGTCTCCAAATTCAAACCAGCCTGAAAAGGGGACCACCAACTTTTTGAACCAAAGGACACAAGCTCACACAAACAAAAGACAAATACATCACCCTCGAAAATAATGAAACGCCACACACACACACACAGAGACACAAAACCAACAACCTTAAAGGGGTACTCTCAGAGGACACAACGACATATATATATATATATATGTATAATATATATATATATAATATATATATGCATATACGCACGCAAAAACAACAAACACCTGAAAGCTGTCCGGAAACCGGAAAATACACACACGCACAAGCGCGCCACACGCACACAAACAACAAACAGACAAACAAAGAAACAAACACACCAAGTAAGCAAACAAGCAAGCAAGCAAGCAGGCAAGGAAACGAAAGGCAAGGCAAGGCAAGGCATGGCAAGGCAAGGCAAGGCAAGGCAAGGCATGGCAAGGCAAGCAAACACAAAAACATGCATAATAATAAGTAAACAAACAAACCAACAAACATACAAACATACAAGCAAACACAATCAAACAATCAAACCGACAAGCAAGCAAACAGACAAACAAGAAACAAGCCAGCAAGCAAGCAAGCAAGCAAGCCAACAACACAAACAGAAAGACAGACTGACAGACTGACAGACTGACAGGCAGGCAGGCAAACGGACTCACAAACAAACTCACAAACGTAAAACATAGACCCACACACAAACAAGCAAACAAACAATCAAACAAGCAAGCAAGCAAGCAAGCAAGCAAGCAAGCAAGCAAGCAAGCAAGCAAGCGAACAAACAAAACACGCAAACAAACAAACAAGCAAACAAACCTGAAAGGGGCATCTTGAGGAAACCAAAGCGGCACACACACACACACACACGACAAAGCAACCTGAAAGGGGTACCCGAGAAGGAAACAACAACGACACACACACACACAAACACAAACACAACATGATCACACCAACAAAAAGAGGGGCAAAGCAGCCACGCCTCCTGGTTCTCCTCTGCCTCTTGGAGAGCCATCTCGACCTGGCGTCCGTGATACCATCAAGGGGAGCCAGCAAAAAAGCAAGAAAAGCGAAACAGGGGGATGGGCAACAAAAAGACAAACAACAAGAAGGTCAGCACTAAGGCAAAAGAGCAACGGAAGTTGCTTCTAAACTAAGAAAGCAACTGTGGGTCAAACGGCCGGGTGTAAAAGCTCCAGCTGGGAATCCAACCCCCTGATCGGTGCGGAACAATCGTCGACGGATCGTATGTTCCATTCTCCCTACATGGAAAGCCTTCTCTTGTGGCGAACTGGAGAACCGGTTCCCAAGTTGGTGCTCAGCGGGCCGAAAGAAGCTGCAAAGCTAATCAAGATTGAAAGAAGTCAAGGGCAACGGACAATCAACTTGCTGGGGTTTGATATCCTAGCAAGTACAGTACATAGGTCAGCCAGCTATGCGCTGCCAATTCTTTTTGGAGGCGCTGGTTGCCAGAGATAGTTTGTTAGTTGGCAAGTTAGCTAGGCTAGTTTGCCGATTCGCTGGTTGAGGTACTTAGCTATGGCTATTTTCGCACTTCAAAGGTGCTGCACATCTGCAAGACGTGTGCGATTTTTGAGCTGTAACCTGTACAGGTGCACGTGGCGCACTACTTGTGTACTTTAAAACCCGACTTTCGTGGCGAAGCCGCGGTCCTGCCAATGCGGATTAATAAACCCGTCCCATTATTAGGGGGGTGTTCCCTCCAAAAGTGATGAATCCCCACTAAAAGGGGACACTCCCCTATTAATCAACCAGGGGTTTACCAATCCGGGGTTAACATTACACGAGTTCGCAATTTGGAGTTGAGCAAAGCGCTGCATCTTGAGCTGCCATTTTGGGAAACCTAAGGCCGATTGCGAGAACCGGCCATCCTACGTTTTCTGTGGCGCAAAGGTACTTTAACAACCCCCGCTACCCCCCCCCCCCCCCAAAAAAAAAAAAAACATGGCGGTGGCATAGGGTCGTTTGGGCGACACCAACATGGGTAGGATACTATAGTTGGCAAACAAAAGTTCGAACTGGTTATTTACCACTAAAATTGTGTTCCCAAAAAGTGTAAAGTTCAAAAACTCAGGAAGTGAGCAGCACGCGTTAGTGCAGTTGCATCGGAACCCCGGCTGTTTTTGGGTATGTCTTTTAAATAGGGGGACCCCATCAAATGATTGGTTTCCCTTGTTTTCACTTTTAAAACCAAGGGGTGCGAGGGCTCTGACCAATAAAGGACGCCTTATTGGGACTCGTACGGGTCAGCCCATGTCAGCCCTGTGGCGCCTGCGCTTCCAAGTGCTCCGGTGTCATCTCGACCTCCGAGTCCGATTCGTCGGAGTGGCCATGGGAACCAAATCCGCGTCCCTGAAAGTGAGAATCCAAAGCACTTGCGGGAACACCCCCCTCCTATATAGGACGGGTTTGCTCATCCGGATAAATCTTGTATTATTGAAGAAAAGAAGCCCTGCCAACAAAAGCAGAGCACCACTGGAAGTCTGGCAAGTCACTGGAAATGTTGGACCCGAGAACCTTCGGTAAAATACGGGGCTTCCAGATCGTCCACGCGGCCATGCAAAAAGGGGCATGTTTTCGTCGATGTTCAAGGGGATTCCTTGAACAAAAGGTTGCGAAAGGGAACTAACCCGCTTGTCTGGGAAGTCGGCAAAACCCGCAAGAATCAGAAGGGCTTCTCGCTGCACCAATTTCTTGTTGATGTTTCGGGACTGTACCCTTAATCTACCCGTGTCTTTGTGTCGTTAACTTGCAATATGTTGTGGGATGTCAGCCCCACCACAAACCAGTGGAGAGGCATCAATGAATGCGACCATACAAACCATCTGGAGAGGAGCATCTGGAGACCCCCAGCTCTGGTCCAACAAACACGACATGGGGCTTGGTCTCAAATTGTTTGCCCTACGCATGAATACAAGTGTCAGTTCCTGAAAATCAGGCTTGTTCACAACTGGCTTCTGTATGCCCCGATTATCCACCCTTCTCAGCCCTTCTAAGAACTTCTAAGAAGGTTCTAAAACTTTCTCCTCCGTCACCGGGAACAAATACAGCCAGGATCTTCACGTGATGGGGGCTCCATGTTTGCGGTATCAACAAGCTATCCTTCCCTGGTTGAACTTCATGTTTAGCTAACCCAGAGATGGTCCCTACCTCATGAGTGCATGGTTCAGTGACCCTGGAAAAAAAAGGGAACCCTTTTTTGGAAAGACCATTTTAGCGGGGCAGCCACCAAAAAAAAGGAAAAAGGGAGCCACTGAACAACCGAGGTACCTCCTTACCAAGGGACCCTTTGGTCAAGACGCCAGGCGACCAAGAAAAAACCGGTGCTCAGCGGGAAACGCATCGATGCGTTGTGAAGCCTGTGATTTGAAGGATCGGAGCAAGGAACACTTCGATTAATTCTTGTTTTAGGAAAATAACATGACCATGTGGGGTTGAGTTGTTGGAGGGACCTGTCAAAATCAGTGGCTTCCCTTTGGCTTCCCTTTAAACCAACCCCAAGGGTAGCCTCAAAAAGACACCTCCACTATGGGTGGGTCTTTCTCTTTCTTTAGGTTGACTTTTTCATGTTTTTAATTCCGGGCAACCAAAAGGAAACCACCCTTTTGGGGCAACGCGTTGCTCCAAGCCAGACAACCTCCCCGCCCCACGACACCGTGCTTCCCCGGCCATAGGCCGGAATTCCATGCGCGCCGGCAGCACGCCTGTCCATTGACCAGATGCCAGCTCGTCCTTTTTGGAGTTGCCCCCCTCGTCCTCTTTGGTAGGTTTTTCTCAGCGCAACCAACAAATAATTCTGGGCTGCCCTCAGATCCCCGGCTAAAAAAAACACTTTTAGTGGGTTAAATGGAAACTACCACTAAACACGAAACAGCTAAACGGCTAAGGGGATGGCTGGGAGCCACCAAGGAATAAATCGGCTGATCTTTCTTTTTGGATCATCCTAAAAGACAGGTGTGAAAACCATGGGGTCCGGGAACCCACAGCTTTCAAGTACGGACCCAAAGGTTGGGAGATATATGGGAAGAAAATGGGTGCCTCATCTTTTCCGAAAGGATCCCCTGTTCGGTGTGGTTTCAAAGGAAGGCCCAAAGGAAACCCACCATTTTTGGGGCTCCACCGGATCTTTTGACGTAACCTTCCGCTGCCGCGCGCCGGAATGTTCAGGGTGGAAGAACACTCCTGTGAGACAAAAGTAGTCCATCCCTGTGACTAGTTTCTTGAACAAGAGGTTCTGTTGGGTATCACAGAAATCGGCAAAAATGCAGTTCCCGCACCATGTTGTGGTTCTGATGCCTGTCTGGCAGCCTCTTTTGCCTCAAGGCAACGACTGAGCTCCTGGTTCAGCGTTCACCTTTCCAGGGATGGAGTTCCTCCAAACCGCTTCGACGGCTGCAGGTTCCGCATGGGTAGCAGGCACATATTCGCACCAGAAGGGGCATGTCAGCTTACCAGATTGAGCATTTTGGGGAGGGAGGGGAGGGGGTGCGTGTGCCCCTTGTCGCAAACCCTTGTCTGCAATTTTTCAGGTAAAGTATTCTGCCCAGCCAAGCTCAAACCTCCAGGTTTCTGCCACGTGGCCCGACTGTCCTTCAAGATGCAGGGAATGTTGCTGTGCCGGCATGTGAGTCGCAATCAAAACCTGGTACACAAATGGTCTACCCAGAACCATGTACAGGATTAAGAAGGCGGCCGCAGCTATTTCTGGCTGGGATCGTCCCTTACTAACCTTCATTTACCCAGGTTTTGATTGTGGCTCATGTGGCGTGGCACTGGTGAACCGTGACCACTGCAATCTCAGTCTCAGCTGGAGATCTGCCAAGAACATGCCATAAAACTCGGTTGCTGTGCGCAGCAATTCCACGAGAGGTACCTTGAAGCACATCATTTGGCGTTGGATACTTCTGTCTGAGTGTCTTCTGTGTTTGAGACATCCCTGATTCCCTGATTCAGCAGATCTGGTCATCGCCCTTCATGTTGGAAAAGATCAGGGGAGGCATATGTCAGTTGGCAATCTGCAGGTGCTTTGCTTGGAGTGGCAAAATCAAGTATGAATCCAAGTTGTACCCAAGAAAGCACGTAACTCAGAGTACTTCCCCGGATTAATACACCTCTAGGCCGATTGATGGAAGTGTCTTCTAGAAAATCATCTTTGGGGCCAATCCCAAATCTGGCTGCTTAACTTGCTGGTTCTCAGGAGGGAACGAGAGTTGGAATGCCCCCCATGGTCCCATTCCTTTAGTGGGACATCCCCAAAACGGTTTTCATTCCCAACACCCGGACTCGTTGTCATTCCCTGTCGCACCAGAAAGTTAAGCTAAGCGACCTAAGATCGAATGCAAATTGACTCCTGGGCGGTCCTTTGCGCAATGGAAAACCTAGCCTTCCACCGTCCAGTGGAATTGCTGTGCGCAAGAAAAACCTGAAGGATCGGTTTTTCATGGATTGTTATTTATCTTTGGGTATTGTTGTTGTTTCTTTTCGTTGTTAGTGTCTTTGTTGATTGATGTATTGTTAATTCATTTTCTGTTATGTATTGTCTTGTCTTTTCTGTATGTGTGGTGTATTCGATGTTCTTTTGCTATTGCCTTTCTTTCCACGTTGATTGCCTTATTTTGCCATTTGATTCGTGTCTGTCTGTTCTTTTGTTTTCCAGTATGTGCCTTCTTTTGTTGATGTGTTGTCCCGGTTTACTTTATGTTATTGTCTTTCTTTTCGTTCTTTACTTCTTTGTCTCTGTCTTTCTTTCTTTCTTTCTTTCTTTCTTTCTTTCTTTCTTTCTCTTTCTTTCTTTCTTTATTTCCTTCTTTCCTTCCTTCTTTCTCTCTGTCTCTCTCTCTCTCTCTCTTTTGGAGGGGGTGCCAACTCTTAGAAATAATGGCCCCTTCTCTCTCTCTCTCTCTGTGTACGCGCCTGAGATGGAGTGAGCCGATGTGGCGAAGAACTCATACTGCAGGTACCTCGTGTGCAGCGGATTCGCCGGGCAACATCCACGCACCCGCTTGCAGCAGCTACCCCGCCCAAGGGTGTGGGGGGGTGCTTAAAATCCACGTGTTGTCAATTCGATGTGATAATTTGTACGTTTGCGCCCGTAAAAAAAATATACCCGACAAACACTCATTGGTTGAATGCATACCGCGGATGGATGAATCCTGCACCATCTAAGAAACCCTGGAATGATGATTCCCCTACAAACACCAACAAACAGTGGACTCCCTTGGTTTCGAAGCGGTGCAGGATTTCGTCCATCCACAGTAGCTATGTGTGTATGTATATGTATACATATATATATGTATAATATGAATATATATGTATACATATATATATAATATGAATATATATATAATATTATTACAAGTATGTGTCATGTGTACCCGAAAATTTCTTCTTGTCGGCTCATTGAATCGGCGATGCCAGCTCTGAACCAAATGGCCGCTGGCCTCCCAGCGGCCGGCGCGAGAATTTTTCGGGACGCACATCTAGGCACCTCACTTGAGATGGGCCAACAGAAAGTCTTTACTAATTAGTGTTTGTCTTAGTCTTGTTATTGGTTATTGCTATGTTTACCAGTATTTTTGTCTTAGTATTGTTACAATTGTTATTGTTATTGCTATGATTGTTGCTTACGACCAAAATGGTTCTTCCCGAACGGCTTGAAGTTCATGAACACAGAGTGAGGCACACGCATCTGCAGCTCCGCATCTGCTCATGTGCACGATGCACTGGCCGTGCATCGATTGGATGCAAAGCCCCGCGCAAGAGTTGCTCATCCCGAAGCTTCTGCCTGGAGCTTGATGACCTCCTCAGGGATCCTTACGTTATACACCTGAACTTTGCAACTTGTAAAATGGCGGTTTCAACCTTTATTTTGGTGGGAAAAAGCAACATGCTTTGCTTCAACTGGTTGCAACATGTATCTTTTAAGGAGCCCTGCTCCTTGTTCCAGGCTGTGGAAAGAAAGGTGTTGACTCCAGGGAGCCACCGAAGCACAGTGCTGACGTTGAATGGCCCGATTCTGTTGAGATAGCTGGGGTGCTGAGCCACCTGGCTGTGGGTCAAGAATATGTACCCAAAATGGACCCCTGGTAAGTGTACAGTTGCGTACTTCCTGACTGTAAAGATAACTGGTTTCCCCCCAAACGTGTTTACAAAATACCTTGTTGTAACAACCAAACCGGCGGAAACATGGACTAAAACCCGCGGTCCGACTCCTGGTGGTTCAATTTTGACCCATACCCACCTCCTCCCAGTCCAGCTGCCCCAAATCCTCCAGGATCATGGAGTCACAGGCCATCTGGCTGAAGGCGTCCGAGCTGCCGTCAAAGGTAGTGACCCCCTTGGAGTGCAAACCTCAGTTGGTTTTAGTGACCCCGGAGAAAAAAAGGGAACCTGTTTGGGGAAGACTTCATTTCTCGTGGGGCCACCAAACAAAAAGTGCCACTGAAGGAGTGAGAAGCCGTAGCCCAGCTCCCGCCCCTCCTCCGTCAGTCGCTTCCTCGCGGGCCCTGCCAGCCTGGGGTCCACGATGTACGAGTCCACCCGCCTCCAAACGCCATCCACCTGGCTGTGGGTCAAAAATGGGTACCCGAATGGAACCCTGGTAAATGGAAAAATGGACCAAAACCTGCGGTCCCCTGGTGGTCTAATTTTGACCCATACCCAGGACCTGGACGTCCGCAAAGCTGTGAGTGACCCGGGGCGGGAACATGTCCCCGAGGCCGCCGAGGACCTGGTTGTCAATGTTGACCCAGTGCTGATGCGCCTTCAGCCCTGCTTCTCGGCACAGCTCAACGAAGAGTCGGGTCTTGGGGTTGCAGTGGCCGCGGTTCAAGGCGATCGTCTCCTCCGGCGTGGCCGCGTCAAACTTTGTGGTCCAGCCGAAGGGGATCTGCTGCACATAGTTGTGGATCGCGGTCACCTTGGCAGAGTCCGACACGGCGCCCGTGACGAGCTCCGCCACCTGGCGCGCCGCCCAAGACCTCGCCGCGGTCGACATGCCGCCCGAAAAAGGCCGCGGAAATCACTCCAGCTCACGCAGTAGTGTCCTCTTGTAGCGGTTGCTTGTGAGGGCATCCGTTCGGACCCATTGTGGGATTTTCTCCAAAATCTGTGCTAAGCCACCAGAGTAGGCCATCCCCATGACTACTTTATCACTTTCCCTAAACGCCTTCCCACACCGAGTTGTGGTTTTTGACGCCAGCGCCGCCGTTTTCGCTTTCAAACCTCCAAACGGGTGTGGGTCAAAAAGAGGTACCCCCCCAAAAAAAACGGGTACACATGGAACCAGGGGAAGACAAAGAGCAAAGCCTGCGGCCCATATCCTGGCGGTTTCATTTTCACCCACCCTGACCCGAGTCCCTGGGGAAGGGAACGCCTTTCCTTGTCCATGGGGTCACTTCAGCGTCT